TATAATATATATATAATAATATATATATATAAATATATATATATATATAAATATTATATTAACACACACACACACACTTTATATATATATATATATATAAATATATATATATATATATATATATTTTATATATATATATACAACACACACACACAAACACATTTTATATATATATATATATATAAAATTTATATAATATAATATATTTTATATATAATATATATATATATCAATAAGGCCAATAACGTCACTCGGGTACTGGTAAACACTGTCTTCCATCACTTCTCTCACAACACGGGACAAGGCTCTAGCGTCGCGGCGTCGTCCACTACGCTGCTCACAACTCTCAGAAGTTTTTATAAATGGCTGCTTGAAGCGAGAACGATCACAAACTGAAGCTGTTACACGAAAACTTTTTGGGGTAATGGGAGAGAGTTAGGTAATGGTGTGGTAATGGTGGTGTGGAAATGGTAGTGTAGTAATGGTGACGTGGTAATGGTAGTGTAGTAATGGTAATGTAGTAATGGTTGTGTGGTAATGGTTGTGTAGTAATGGTAGTGTAGTAATCGTGGTGTAGTAGCAGGTAGTCTAATAACAATGGATGTACAGAGGAGGTAAGGTAACATTGGTTCTCACTCACCTCTACCGGGTTAGGTTTCAGACAGCCTCCATGAAGTGAATCATAGCTTTTTTTTTTTCACTTGCTGGTACATATAAAAGCTTAAAAACATTTTTACACTATCATATCACTAGGCCTCAAGATGCAAAAGCAACAATAAAGAAAATTTGAAAATTGACGAAAACCATGTTAAGAGCAGAGCAAGTGCCGAAAATAAACGTGAATATAATTGAAAAGCGCCGTATTAGCGAAGCGCTCTAAAGTGAGTGCTGTATTAATGAGGTTTGCCTATACTATGCAGCATCATAATAGAACCTACGCTTACTCAAGCATATCCAGAAGCTCGAAAAAATCCAGATGTTTGCAAACTGACTAGTCCTGCAGTTGGGGGGAGCCCTCTACGAGGAGATATTTTTGTAAATGATCATAATGCTCTTGGGAGAGAGAGGTGCCAAGGAAGACATGATTATGAAGTGGAAGATACTCTTGAGAATTTGATAGCACCGATATAATTCGACTGACATGTTAGAAAAATGGACAAAGGGGAACAGATTGAAGCTAAAAACAAAGATTTATCCGCAGTAACATCAGAAAATACTTATTCAGTCACAATGTAGTAAGAAAGTTTTTTAAGATGTATGGGGACGAAGTTCTATACACAGTTCTAAGATGGGTGAAAGGGTACACGCTGATCCACTTAGGGCATCTTTAATTACACACCTTTTGGTCCTTATCTCTACAAACATTTGGAGTAACTAAAGTCCCAGGATCGAAATGTATTTCAATAAAGTTAATACACAAATAACCCACACACAGGAGATAGAAGCTTATTTCAACGTTTCGGTCCGACTTCAACCACTTACAACTCACACAAACACAAGAGAGTGATGGAGCCAGTATATATAGGCGAGGGGAGACAGACGGGAGAAAGAGAATAGTGTTTGCAGTTGTGTCCTTACATCGAAATTATCGGTATTAATATACCTTGGACCTTACAGTTGAAGTAGATGTGATAGGAACTCAGAAGTCGGTAACCAACAAGGTCAGTGGAAACATGGTAAGAGTCAGGGCCGTGAGCCGAGACTAAATCCCCATGAACGTATCTTTAAGCACAACTCAACTCGTAAAAAAATACAATTCTCGAAGTAAAATTGTGAGTAAAACGAGAACAACTCTCTGAGAACAACAAATACAAGAGTCTGAGTACAACTCTGAGTACTTTTTTGGGAGTTATCCTAGGTAATTCACACGTACGTATGTTACTATGCAGAACAAGCCACATGGGGGATGGAAATCTTCATCTCAAGATTTTTCGCATTCTCTGTGTGTCGTCAGGAGCAATCAATGTTGCAAGGCTAGCAACAGACAGTAGGAAGAAAAATTCTCTCTGAGGTAAGACAGAAGCGTAAAGCGTCAGACCATGCCATAATCTGAGAGAATTTTTCCTCTTACTATGTTGCTAGCCTTGCCACATTGCATAGCTTCTGATGACGCACAGAGTGTGAAATATCTTGAGCTAAAAATTTCCATCCCCATGTGGCTTGGTTGCGTGTTAAGATTGCCTACCTGGAGAGTCTACCTGAAGGGCATTCCGGGGATCAACGCCCCCGCGGCCCGGTCCATGGCCAGGCCTGGTGATCAGGCCCTGATCCTGGTGGATCAGGGCCTGATCAACGAGGCTGTTACTGCTGGCCGCACTTAGTCCAACGTACGAACCACAGCCCAGCTGATCCGGCACTGACTTTAGATATCTGTCCAGCTCCCTCTTGAAGACAACCAGGGGTCTACTGGTAATTCCCCTTATGACTGGTGGGAGGCTGATGAACAGTCTTGGGCCCCGGATACTTATTGTGTTTTCTCCTAGTGTACCAGCGGCGCCCC